GAATCTGAAAAGCTAGAAGACTGGAATTTTTAAGGGGATATTTCCTGACAGTTTTGGTGGCCAGTATCAATTCTTTTAGCTGGAAGCAACTACCGGGAACAGTGCCGTTAACAACAAAAACCTGCGAGAAACTCTGCGAAAAACGCATCTTCGCCTCAGTGCGCTGTAAGACGCGATGCAGATTAGAGCTGTCTTTTGGGAAGTGGGAGAATGGGCGTCGAAAAATTTCTTCTTTCTGTTCAGACAGGAAAAAAGTATTTTTAAAATTTCACTAGCCAACTGCCATGTGGGTCTTAGCAAGCTTTGTTATCCAACAAATTCCAGTTTTCAATCAGTCAATATCCAGCCAGTTTTCTTGAACGGCAAATTTGGGTTATTAAACCCAAGAGCTGACGTAATACTATGACGCATCACAGTATGCGCTAAACATTTCACATCAAAAGTTAATCACAGCGGACAAAAAAGTAGCTTCCTAGGCAAGAAGGGAAAGGACCAAACCAAAGCCCGAAAAAACAATAAAGGTCCGTCTCCTTTTGTTGGTTGGGAGGGGTGAGACGTTGTGAAAAATTGACATTCCACCGTTGTTTAAATCTTACAATATTCTATGTACCACATTTTCCCTTCTCTCGTTGTCAACTCGCGCTCTGCCTGACAGAGGCACTGAAAATTTAAACACCACTGAAACCTCATGAAGCCTAGTAAAAAACCAAAAAATTTTTTCAAAAATCCACAAAATGCAATGTGAGAGTGATAAGCAACGAAATACCATTTGAGCATACGGTGAAGGCTGCAACGTAGGCGGTAATGGCACATGCTGAGGCGGCGGAGGCAAACCCCCTTGAGCAGCATCTAACGGTTCCAGACCCGGCCAAATAGCTGGGGTGCTTTGCGAAAACTGATGGATATCCACTGGCTGGATCCCAACCAAATTCGGATCGCTGTGAGGTGTCGGCGACGCTGCAATCAATGGACCAACACCGTTCATGCGAACACCGTTGATTGCACGCTCCTGAAAGCAGTAC